AGCAATAATGATTTTATAGAGAGTAATTTACATTTAATTGCATACAATTTCGAGAGGCGATGGATAAAATAGGGAAGATTACATGCTAAGACTAAATGTGTACGTAGGTTATACTAGTGGAAATTCAAGATTTTTTTAAATATTCCCTTGTAGAACTAAGGACTTAAAACTTGTATACTACTAAAATATGGATTTTAAACTAAGATTGTATGCTATTCTAATTGGTATAACATAAGGAAATAAAATTTTGAATGTAAGACACTAAATCCTTGTATCATGTGCAGTAAAGGATACCAGTGTAAGACACTAAATCCTTGTATCATGTGCAGTAAAGGATACCAGTGTAAGACACTAAATCCTTGTATCACGTGCAGTAAAGGATACCAGTGTAAGACACTAAATCCTTGTATCATGTGCAGTAAAGGATACCAGTGTAAGACACTAAATCCTTGTATCATGTGCTGTAAAGGATACCAGTGTAAGACACTAAATCCTTGTATCATGTGCTGTAAAGGATACCAGAGGCAATAGGGTTTAAGAATCAGTTTTTTGTGTAAAACATATTTGTTATGTTTACTAAAAGCTGGCCAAATTTTGTAAAGACATTCAGAATCATGGTTAAAATTTGGTCAAAATTACCAAGACTGCATGGTCAGAGTTAACTCTTTGACTACGGGGCTAGATGCATTGCACCCAGTACAAAATAACCACGAGAGTAGTCATACTATAACTTTTGATAATGTACACATATCTTCACAATCTGGTAATCATCGGGTTATTAGTAAATATTCCAAGGCTCTCGTACACAAAATATCAGGTATATATCAAAATATAAGTATTAAGATTTCACTTTCCTAATCCCTATAACCTCCTAAATAACTATCAGATGTTTTTAAAAAAAAACTATACATTTTGTCTGTTGTTTTCTCTACCTTAACTCTATATGGGCTTGTTTGATTTGACCAACCTCGTAATCACCATAAAAATTAAGAAATAAATCTAAATTATCCATTTTTCTTTCTAGAATGACTGATAATTGTAACAGAAAGCCACAAATGTTTATTCTAAATAGCTTACACTTTGTAACAGTATACACCTATTTATATATATATATATATTAATTTTTTGTTTTATTTACCTCTGAACTGTGTCTAACAAACCATCCCACCAGCCAAGTTTTATATCATTAGGTGCAAGTGCATCTCACATTATCATATCGAATAGCATAAAAATGGTCTTTGCAAAGTGTAAATCCCTTACTCTTCTTTGTACTAGTACTAGAGATTTTGGTTATCATACATTACATATGTGCATATATTATTACTATTTACAAATAATTTCTTATATTTCAGTTATTATTCTTAAAACGTAGAACAGTAAATAAAAATATATGGAAAACAATGATCCCTGCAACTTATGATGTTACAAAGATTTTGTACTCGTGTGTTGTACTTGCTAAGCATCATCAAATTTCACACAGAGGATGTAAAAAAATAGTAATTTTGGAGGTTTTAAATAGCATTTGTGTTCCTCAGGTTACCTTTGTTGAATTTCCATTTTCTTCATTTCCCTTTCCTTAATAACTGCTTCAAACTTCTCTCTTCTTTCTATTCTCTGGATAAAATCAAACAATAAAAGTATTTAAGTAATACAATTCACTACTGCATGAATGTTTATAATTTAATTGGTCTTGATCTACGTATAAAAAATTCTCCTTTTGGTACTGAAAAACAAAGAATGCAGCATGCAATTAGTCACCAATTATTAGGAAATTAAATATACTTTTTACCACCAAGATAAACTGTACAAATAATGAAAATAATCCATAAATGTATAAACCTTAAACATAAAAAAACTTGTGTTTTAATTACATTCATAAAATATTATCAAAAGGACCATAATTTGTTATGTATGTACAATTATTTTACAAATATAACACACATTAAATAAAAGACACACATTTAACAAAAACAAATTAGCGAAATTATATTTTTCTTATCGACAAATTAGCCATATAAGTACTTCATAGTTACTGGTTTCCATACTCTGTATGATGCACAATAGCATACTTGTTAATAATAAAAATATGAAATAATAAGCATTGCAAATGTTAAGCTAAATCACTGAAGATTACAAATCATGTGCCAGTGAAAAAATAACTATGGCACTCAAATAAAAATAATCCTGCAACTGCAAGCCAACATTTTAAATTAGTTCAGAGCATTAATTTTCATTCAATTTTCTTGCACTTCTTTTTTTAAATAGTTTCTTAAACCTCTGTGAAGATACAAACTTATTAATACTTTCTTAAACCTCTGTGAAGATACAAACTTATTGATACTTCCTTAAACCTCTGTGAAGATACAAACTTATTGATACTTCCTTAAACCTCTGTGAAGATACAAACTTATTGATACTTCCTTAAACCTCTGTGAAGATACAAACCTACTGATACTTTATCTATACTTAAAAACTCTATATGAGGAAATGACACTGTTGTTGTTTAGCTAGTCTGGTGTAAACTACAAGCAAACATACAGAGACTGAACTCAAACTAGGGATATAGAGTTGTCAAGCTTCAAGTGGTTAAAGATGAATACTATGTTGAAGATTCTATGGTAACATTTAACCTTGTACATACTATTTACTAAAGTAGCTGTAACATACTTGCAAGTCAAATTAAAAAGTAGGCTTAGTGTAGCTTAGTCTACTATTATGTTGTACTTCAATTTCTTGACTAATTAACAGGAACAAATCAAAAATTTGTATGGTCAGAAAAGTGTGATAAAAGATACTCGATCTTAATTTTGTATTAAAAACAAGAATTCTAAACTATGAATTTCGTTTTTAACTAATCAGTTTATCCCCCTGTTTGAAATAATTACTGATAAAATGACTTGATGAAAACCAACTACAGACAAAACTTCAATTACAAGGCTATCTACATACTATGTCATTATTATGAAAAAATAAACTGTATGATAGTTTGCTTGGTTATACTACAAGTTTTAGTAAACAAATATAAATAGTAAATAATAAATTAATATCTGTATTTGAATTGTTGCATATTGGGAAAATCAATCAAATGAAAATCAACTTTTAAGAAGAGTAACATTACAGAATGATCTTTTAAAATATACAAAAATGCATTTATTTAACTCAATTTTAATTCTTAGTTAATATGAAAATACGCAGGGAAAAGGGAAGGTGCATGATCTGAGTGAAGACACGAGGAATCGATGACTGGAAGAAGGATACAAGGAATAAAAGGCAAATCGAATCACAATCCAAGGGAGGAAGGAAAAGAAAAATCACAGACAAAGCAGTGCAGTAAGGAAAGGAAATTGTGGGAGATGGATTCAATGGAAAACCTCGAAAACAATGAAGCAACCCAAAGCATGTACTGGACTGACAAAGTAAATCTGGAAGTAGTTGAGAAGAAATGTAGAAGAAGGTAAGAAACGGAAAAGTCAATAGGAATATACCACATGAACCATGAAAAAGAGGGAAATAAAAATGATCCAGAACAAAGAAAACAATTGAGCTGAAACAGCAGAGTAACCCATATTTGTGCTGGCCAAGAAATAAATAAGAAAGAAGACATGAAGCGGAGTGACATAGATGAATAAACATTTTGGGAAAAAAATTAACGTGAGAAACTGGATATAATCCTGACTGAACATATTGACAGTGAGGGCAATAGGATGATGAACTAGAGACCAAAAACAAGAGAGAGAGAATTACTTGGGAATTGATAAAAAGTTCAAAAGTTGAAGTGGAGGAGTACCCCACAGGAGGTAGAGCCATCAATAATTTGAAGAATTGAGAGGTCACTCTTAGGAAGAAAATGTGACAGGACTGGAAAGGCAATGAGCAAGGAGGACCAAAATCTGGAACACGACCCTCCAGGAGACGCACATGAAGTGCATGGGTTCAAAAAGGGAGATCCACTGTCTACCACAAAAGAACAAGAAAGAATGTCCCCCTGGTGAGTGATAGAAGCCACCACCGTCGATTAGTCGAAATAAAACAGGATTAGTCAAATCTGGACAAAATGAAATGAGTGAATAAAAGCACATTGGACTGGATGAAGTACCAGGGTGTGAAGGAAATAAGACCATAGTCTTGAAGCCTCCTACAGATCAAACCATATCCTACATGGAGATCAGGGAAGAGAAACAATCCAGAAGAGGGAAAGGAAGCAAGAAACTCGACATTGTAGGGGATATGAAAATCTATCAACTCATATAGAAGAAGAGGGAAGGAGAAACTTAAGAGGAAAATCAATGGATGGTCCCAATAGAGGGTAGTGCAAAAATACCCACCCCAAAGAGATGAGAATGTGAGGTATGAAACAGGAAAAACACCTCCAGCTGGAAAATCCAACAGCTCGCGCTGACCGTGGAAGGATTTTTTTTATATGAGTACATGAAGACTACCCCCGTTCGGAAGTAGTTAACCAAAGCTATACATCCAATGAATAGTGTAGGTAAAATCGCATCCAAAAAGTGGACGTCAGGTAAAATTCAGACCACCTCTCAAATAACATATGGTACGAGACAAGTCCAAAGGGCAAGGCACGAAACTGGGACTGATTCACATGGTGAAATAACCTAAAATAGTATCTAAAAAAATACAAAATAATGTGTAATTTGGGCATACCCTGACATCCAGAAATAGCAAACACAAATGTGAACAAAAACTACATATAAAAACATAGAAGACCCACGAAGTGATTGAGGTGGGACTGATCAATCCTGAACCCCAAACAGCATTGAACATACAAGACTAACGGAGAAAAACCCGTAAATAGAACAGGTAAAGGACAGAAAATTGCCAGACATGTAAAAGAATAAAGATAACAATATCTCAGAATGAAATATAAAAAAAAAAAAATTAATATAGCATGGAAGATACCCCACATGATGCTGAAGGTACAGGAGAAGTCCCCCAAAAAAGACCAGTGGAGAAAAAGAAAAAGCTTTTGTAATGAAGTAATAAGTTCTGTAACTGGGTAGAAATATAAAATAATTCCACTTTGGAATAACTCAACAAGTTACAAATATTAATATTGTATAATAAAGAGTAAACTTCTTGAGAGAAATTAATACAAAGATACAGACAAAAAAATTAAAATATAACACATGAAGAGAGCACAAACTACACATTAGAACATGAGTACTTCCAAACAAAATGTGGTAGTTCAGTAGAAATGAACACAGAGGAGTCACATGCGTTCAGAGAGTATGTTGCATTCTTATTGGTGGAGGTTTTGTCTCATGATGTTCATGCGAGAAATATTGGAATCAGTCAATTCCAGATTTAGGAGATTCAAGGCTTTTAGCATGCACAAAATTGGTTTTTGCATATAGAGGTCAGCACTGAACAAGAATAGCTATTTAGGTGAGAGGAGGTAATGTATTGTATGGGAATTTCACTATCTGATTTATATAAACAGAGAAAATTAATGAAGTTCAGTTCATATGAACTGCCCTAAAATAATTAAACCATTATGTTTATATATGTGAGGTCTGGCATGGTGAGGTACTTAGGGCACTGAACTCACAATCTGAGGGTCGTGGGTTCAAATACCCATCCCACCAAACATGCTCGGCCTTTCAGCCATGGGGACATTACAATGTGATGATCAATCCCACTGTTCATTGGTAAAAAGAGTAGCCCAAGAGTTGATGGTGATAACTAACTGCTTTCCCTCGTGTCTTTCACTGCTAAATTAGGGACAGCTAGTGCAGATAGCCCTCGTGTAGCTTTGCACAAAATTCACAACAAACCAAACCAATTGTATGTGTATAATACTAAATATATAATTTCTATCAAAATATAATCTAGGCAAACAACTGTCCCTATAAAAATTATTTTAGTAATACTAAATGAAGAGTTTCAGATCTACACTCCACGGAAGTGAAAAGGCTGTGTTTATTAACATTCCTCATTACTGAGCAGCATCAGGTGATTATACATTCCTCACATATAAGGAGCTCATTTGAATTACATTTCAACACATTTTTTAGTTTGTGTATTAAGTTTCAAAAACAAATTATCTTTTAAAAATATTTCAGTATCTTTGTGCAAAAATGTGAACACTTTGGCTGTGTAGTTTATATGCATTTATACATTTTAATTTTGAAAAGGTACTTTTTTAAATTCATTTTATAAAAACCTGTTTAGTTAAACTTGTAATTTATACTTCTTAATAACTTTTTGATGCATTTGTTTCACAAAAAAATGTAACGTTTAGAATACCTTATTTACAAATAACCAACTAAAATATGGAAAATACTTTCAGATCAATGTATAATGCTTGAGGGAAAACTATAAATATGATAGACATACATTTTTTCTGTAATGTATTATTACAAAATTATAAATATAAAGTATCTTATTCACACTCCATGGACTGAATGTAATTAAATCATATATTATTTGAATACAATTAACTAGGAATGTTGTTAATGCAAGTTGTGACATGAAAATTAGCTATCTTTGGTTAGATTAAGTAGAAATATTATGTTAAACCTAATATTTAAAATAAAGTAATTTTTTTAATGTTAAACATTTACAAGAAGTAAATTGTAAGATTTATTTCTTTTTGTATTATTGACTTATTTAACATGTTAAGATTTGTTTGTTTTGAATTTTTGTGCAAAGCTACACGAGGGCTATCTGCATTAGCCATCCCTAATTTAGCAGTGTAAGACTAGAGGGAAGGAAGCCAACTCTTGGGCTACTCTTTTACCAACGAATAGTGGGATTGACCATCACATTATAATGCCCACATGGCTGAAAGGGCAAGCATGTTTGGTATGGCTAGGATTCAAACTCGCGACCCTCAGATTGTGAGTCGAGCGCCCTAACCATCTGGCCATGCTGGACCAACATGTTAAGATAAACATGCTTTATATTATTTTACACAAAGGATGAATTTATCAGAATGTCCAAGTGTGTCATTCTTTCAGGCACGATTTGTTCTCATGAGACACAATATCCACCATTCATTATACAAAATGTTTTCTATGCTATGACATAGGTAATAATGAAGACAATAGAAGAACTGTACATATTTTACCAAGTAAAATTCTGATTGCTACTCTTATAGAATTTTGAGTTCACTTTCACAAACATCATCTGTTTACATATACCTCCATTTAACTATTCAGGAGAAGTTGAAATTATAATCCAGATAAGTTAAAAATAAAACTGTAATAATAATTAGCTGTGCAGCAGGTATTTGGATTTAATAGTTTTAAAAGAACATTTTCTGAAAAAATACAGAATTCACACTTCTCATGCTTACACTTCATTGAGATTAATAGTGTTTTGAATTATATAGGAGTAACTATATTTAGTTAAGTGCCTTTCTCCCATTTTTAAAAGTTGTAAATACAAATTTTTAGTTTACAATATCTACTGATCTATATTTATTTGTCTATATAATTAAGACAATCGTGACTTTTAGCTTTATATGTTTTATTCTGGACTGAAAAATAACACTTTGTCATTACTCGAAGACTGCTCTTCAATTTCTGCTAAAATTTAACATATTCTCCCCCATTCTTTTGTGTTTGTGAAGAAAGAAACCATTTTATCAAATTTAAATGCTTCTACTTGGAACACACAGAAATATATAGAGTAAATACTGCAATGTTGAGAAACTTTTTATGAAACACAAACCTGGAAACGATGAAAGCAGTGGTATGTCAACCTAGGGACTTCATACATAAACATACATAAGAGTATCATAGATGTACCTTGTAGTCAAGTTAAAAACTTTCTTGTATGTCAAATGTTAGGTTATTTTATAGCTTGAGAAGTTCTTGAAAAATCCATTTTTATTGTATCATTTCATAAGGTGAAAATCAATCTTGAGAAAACATAGTTAAAGGTAAAGTGAAACGTGAGCATTATTTTAGGTATCATAAATGTAAATTTACCTGCTCAAGCAACATTTAATTTATTTACACTTTAAAGCAATGCAACGTATTCCAAAGGTATTGTTTGATATTTCATCATTTAATCTAATATACAAAATGGCTTGTAAAAATAATTACTTTTTTTGTTATTACAACTAAGATAAGATTCATAAAATTATAACGAAACAAGCTTGTTGGCAGTATGAATATTTTGAATGAACTAGCTTCAATTTTCTAATACTTTAATTGATTAGTTGAAATATTTCTGACATCCACCATACCATTTTATGAAATAAATGTAACAATGCAGCTATTCATAGCATGCAACATACAAGATTAAAAGTACTTGAAACCAAAGGACAAAACAAATGTTGATTTTAGAAAATAAAGCAACATTTAAGCTTCAAACTGTGGTGTGTAAAAACAACTAGTCATGCCAATAAGCAAACAAGAACAACAGAGCTATATGCTGCTTGCCTGTTTGTTCAGGACAAAAGATATACAGAAAATATTTAAAACATAGAAAAATTCCCTCACCATTGGTTCATCCTGGATGACAGAATGGAATTGACAATAGAACAAAGAAAAATGTCAGTTTCTTAACAACTAAAACACAGAACTTTTTGATGTGTTCTATTATTACACTTGTTTCTATATCTATCAAACATCTAGATAATATGATATGCCCATGCTTCTCAGTTCTAGAAGGAAATGAACTTTTTAATGTCTATAAATCTACAAGTTATTTGCGACTAATATTTTACAGATTTATTTTTTACAAATATAAGACATATGTGAAAGAAAACATTTTACATTCCCTATTTTTTTATAGTAATGACAAAGATTAAGAAAAATTGCACAGCTTTAATATTTAATTTTAGAAATTTTCATATAAAACTGAAAAAAATTGACAAAGCAGACTTTCATTCTTGTACATACAAAGTCAGACTTACTCTTGCTCTTTGTGCTAGTCTTAATTCTTCTTTTTTGTGTGTTCTCTGATAACTAGTGATAAGCTTCCGCAGTCTTGTGTTTAAATCCGAAACTGAAGGGAATATTAGTTTACCTATACACCAACAATAAAAACATATGATAGTTTAATTCTTGCTAATAATACAATGCTGTCTTTTGTATTAGTTTACCTATACACCAACAATAAAAACATATTATAGTTTAATTCTTACTGATAATACAATGCTGTCTTTTGAAAACATAATCAAAGCCTTCATTGAGTTCTTGGTTGAATGTGATGCAAATATACATATATGTTCAATAATTCTGAAGGATAGTAATCAAATATACATATATGTTCAATAATTCTGAAGGATAGTAATCAAATATACATATACGTTCAATAATTCTGAAGGATAGTAATCAAATATACATATATGTTCAATAATTCTGAAGGATAG